GCTGAGTGATGTCACCAAGCTGCTCAGTGATGTCACCAAACTGCTCTGTGATGTCACCAAGCTGCTCAATGATGTCACCAGTCTGCTCAGTGATGTCACCGAGCTGCTCAGTGAGGTCACTAAGCTGCTCAGTGATGTCACCAATCTGCTCAGTGATGTCACCAAGCTGCTCAGTGAAGTCACCAATAACATACAGTTTCATAATTATTTTAACATAATGTAAAATTCTCACAATCTTTCCTCTGACTCTAGGCCTGACATTTTTAGCCACAAGATGAAATCCAAAAAGAAGGACAGAGCTCGATCTGCTAGGTAAGATTCTAAAAAGTGAAAATGATGACATACTAGCAGATTCTACTGTAAAATCTGTATAAGAAGCCGCATCCCTAATAGAAGTTTTTCGGAAAATTGAGAAACAAAAAAGTCACAATTTCTCATATGTGTGATTGCTCTATTAAATAAAAACTGCATCCCCTGTGTTGCATTGTATCATTTTAATTGAAACCACAGTTTCTAATACAGATTTTACAGTAGTATTTGCCACATCAATGAATACAACTGCAATAATAGGTTCTGAGTGTAAACTGTTGGGTTGGTAGTCTTGTTTTCTAGTGTTGAAAAAAAAAAAGAAAGAATATTATTGCAAATATACCTGTGCTTAAAATGTATTATATATTTTCTAACAGGCCCACAACTGGGAAACGTCAGCAACCGAACCGAGAACAACAACCAAGAACCACGTCTGAGTTGTACCCAAAAGCTAGAGGGCTAATCACGAAATGATATCGTGTGTCGGTGTTCTAAAAATAACTGCTTATTCTGTCCAGAATATAAATTATTCTCATTACTTTTGCACGTTATTATGAAACCACAGTTACCATACTACGTTACAATGTATATGTAATTTTAATATCGTATTACAAATGACAGTAGTTCTCCGCATTTACATTGAACTCTTAAAGGTATACTGTCACAAGTTTAAGTCCTAGACATAAAATTACATAACATGGTGATATAATAAAAATAATAATTTTCAATAAATACACAATCGCTTTCCAAAAGAGACACTCAGCTTGTCAGCACATGCATGTGTAAATCTATATTTGATGCGCTGGCTTATCAGGCCAGTCCATGTTTTCACAGATTGACTTGCTCGTAAATTTCTTAACTTCATTCCCCAGCTTTATACAATAATGCACTTTAATATTGTGTTCAGCATTAAGGTACAATGCAATTATTTCTCTGCTTGCACCAATCATTTTTTTTTTTTGTCTCCTAATTAGTAATTTTTTTTATAGTTTGAACTTTATTTTTGTTACTTGTTGTTATTGCTCATGTTAATCTACCGATACTTATTTGAGTTATAATAAAATAGTAATAGGTAACCATTCAGAAAAATTTCAAATCAAAGTGTCATTCAGTCCTTGATGCAAAGCTGTTTTGCAGATATATATTAACCAATTTCAGTCTAAGCGTGGAAACAATTTATGTTGATGTCAATTTGTTTTGGAATCCAATCAAATATGGATCAAGTGGATGTGCACTTTATGTTTTGTTTATTACAACAGATGCAAACAAAATTCGTACTTCTCTGGGAAAGTTCTTTGTACCAATGTTCAAATAACCACATCAACTTCCCCCAGATGGTAAGATAGTGACTTCAAATAAGATTCATATGAATAATTTACATTTTCTTTTGTATGGTCGTAACAATGTTGATATATGAAAACAGACAACTCGGCCATAATACGTACACAGACAAATATTAATTACTGTAAAATACTTTATTTTAGCTGAAATTAATTTTTGGTAAAATTCATTGATTTCTTGACATGTTGAATGTAAATTATAGGAAAAAGAAATTTGGTGGAAATTATTTTCACTGAATCATCTCTCGGCGAAAATAGCGAAACATTTTTTTTTTTAGCAAAAATGAAGTATTTTACAGTGGTTGAAAATCATGTGGTGGCAGGGGAATTGAGATTATCAGAAAATGTAACAAGTTGTTTTCATAAAATTAGATTCTTTTCAGTGTAGTCACACATACTGCAATACATTTTTTAATCCTTTCCAATAAATCTTTGCGAGTCTTCGTTGAATATGTACCTTGACATGTCCATTTCATAGTTGTCATTAAAAACACATCTTAGTCAATGCTATTCATTGTTTAATCATTTCAGAGGCAATATTTGTTCCCAAAGATTTTTTTTTTTAAAAACCATATCATGTCCTGTATTGTATATTTTACCATATTTATTTTTTTTTTGTAATTGTTATTTGATATTTTTACTAGGCTAGTGATGACATCTTGTATATTGTTGTAAAGATATTGTAAATCATTTTTTTTCCCCTGTCAATTTTCAGCAATTTAAGAGCTTTTGTGAGGATGCAACTTTGTCACTGACTCATGCATACAAATCCTGATGAAATGTTTACTACATTGAAATTATGTTGTTTGCAACAGCGAAAAATGTCTCATTATTTTCCCGATTAACAGGATTATGTCTGTCACAAATTAAATTGGTTTCCTCAACATGGATGTTTTTACATTTTATTAACAATAAATAATTTTGTCTCTACGAGTACCATCAAAATGCCTAGGACAAAAATTAATCTGTTCACAGAATCTTATTTAGTCTCGCTTATGCGAAGTTTGTGATTTTAAATAATATTTAAGGAGTGATGTTTTCAGTTTGTTTTTGTGCAGGTAGTTGGGATGCAGGAGTGGTTATCATGCCTCGTGCTTTAAAAATAAAAGCTTGGTTTCATACAGTAAATTATTATGACATAGAGAGCCCATCACTGTACTGCCTTCATATGGTGTCGATTTCAATTTAATCTTACCTCCATGCATACCCGCTAGAAAATAACGGCATTTTTAACCAATGTACATAAAAAGATGTGAGATAAAGTAAAAAATAAATGTACAAGTTTTGTGCGTGAGCTGATTATTTACTATTACTGTACATGTTGTATATTTGTGGATTATCCATACAGTAATGGTTGTACATGTTTAATGTTTTTTTTTCTTGTAGCTGTACTTTATTACCTCATTTGTTGGCATCCTAATCCTCTATATGTATATTGAGCCAGAGTTGAATTATTAAAGAAACATTTTGAATTTTTCAAATCCTTTTTTGTGTGTTCATTGTATTCTTTGATGCGTGACAAGCAGAGCTTGCTTATTTTATAACCCTTTTGCCACTAGACTTTCTTGCCCAAATATTTCTGCCCTTTTTTCTTATATTCTTCAATATTTCTGGAAATGAATCCTAATTTTGGAGCCAACAGGCTAAGTTTGATTCAATTTTAAATTTGTGTCCCAATCTTCTGTAGGAAAGTGCAGACTATAAACAGGACTAATTTGTGAAATTGTGATGAAAAGAGGGAACTGGAGGTGAAAAGGTTAAAGGTATATTGTCCGCAACCTTTTCTTTTTGATTTGTCTATTGTAATAAATACTATTTTGCGCAAAGCAGTTTCGAGAACTGCTTCATAGATTCAGTTGTGATTGAGTTATTAGTATCTCAGGATGTCAAGTCACTGAATCCCATGTATTATTTTCTATTAGATAGTACTACATGTACATATAATTAGTTGTTTCTTATATAGCCATTTAGGTCCGTTACTTTTCAATTTATAGAATGATCAGTTTACTTGTGTTACCATTGTATCTGAACTAGCATTACATACTTCCTTGGGTTTGTTCAGCAAACATCAGTAAAAGAAATCAGAACAGGATTTAGTGTAATAACTATATAATAGAAAATTCAATGAGTGGTCATTGGTTTACAGGATAAAACAAGTTATTTGAATCAAACAACAAGGTTTATCCTGTAAACCACGTTTTTCTAGTAACCGTGTGTAAACCAATTTCTGACTTTCTAAAAAAAATGCGTTGCTTGAAAACAGGAGAGGTAAACAGCTGATTTTAACATAGGATTCCATGGAAAAGATGTATGTCCCCCCCCCCCAGTTCAATTTTCTATCCCGCAATCCTTTGCAAAATCCAATGTCTTCCCTATACATGGATAATTCAATGCATATCATGTGAAAAGGTATTTTGGGAACACAGATTTACTTTGATGAATAGTTGTCGGAATCCATTCGTGACCTCGTTCACAGTACTGCATTACTTCGCCTTGGGAACAGATTTTTTGTCAGAGAACGAATTTGAAGCCATTATTCCATCAACAACGACAAGTTGCCACATGAGATAGTGATAACGAGTTATTACGAGATACTAACACGTTTTTCATGATGAAATATTTAATAGGGATATATTCAAACGTACAAACATACGTTGCTTTTATTGCGGCTCATTTGCGGTATGTCGTGGGCTGGTATTAAATTAGAAAGTTGTATACGTATGTGCCAAGTCACGTGACAAGTGTCAATATACTAGTATATTGACAGTGACGTATGTGTGAATTATGTCACATGGTGTTTAGCAATGAAATGAAAGAAAACATTTAAAATTATAGTATATGTAAACTACTTAAAGTTTAAAGTACTTTATTTTACTTATTTATTTTCTCTATTTTGCTGGAGGGTGATTCGGTGAAAATAAGTTTAGTTAGTTATGTCTATCATCCCTCTTGGGACATGGGCCACCAACAAGATTCCTCCAACCGGGCCGGTCCTGTGCCAGTTTGTCCACTTCTCCCCAGGTATAGCCCAGCTTCCGGCCATTAGTCTCTAGGTACCGTCGCCAGGTGTTTCTTGGACGGCCCGTTTTCTTTTTCCATGTGGGTTCCATATTAGTGCTGCCCTTGTGATGTTTTGGATTGTTTTTCGTAGGGTATGTCCCAGCCAGCGTCAGCGTCTTTGATATCCCCCGTTCTATGGGCTGTTGACTCACTCTTTCCCATAACTCCTGGTTGCTGATCACATCACAAAAATAAAATCCAGTAAAAATGATATCTTTTTACCTATGATTTGCTTTTAACTCATCCAAAATTGGTGAAAATAAACCTCACACAAATTAGATAAAGTGTATTTATGAAGAGAAAAGTAATTCCAGCTAAAATAAAGTATCCTACAATATTAAAACTGGCATGCTGATTTGGGAAAAATTGCTAGTAAAATAATAAAAGTAGCGTGAAATGCCCAAAAAAGTTGGCGGTAAAGTATTAAAAGCTGGGAAACTTTATACGTGAACTATTAAATGTGGCGTGCAAAGTCGGGAAAGTTGCCCGGAAACTATTAAAAGTAGTAATTCCGTGAAACGTCACAAATGAACTACTGTAAAATACTTTATTTTAGCTGTAACGTTTTTTTTCACTGACAATAAAGTATTTTGCAGTATTAAAAGTTGTGTACAAAGTCGGAAAACGTTACCGCAAGTTATTACATGTAAATTAATCGAGCTGTCTGAAGTTAGGAAACGTGGTCTGTAAACTATTAAACATTGCGTACAAAGTAGGGGTAAGTTGTCTGTAAACTATAAGTAACAGTGCAAAGTCAGAACAGTGAGGATTGACATTCACTGGCACATTATAGCAGTTACGAGGCTTCGCATTTCTGGTTTTAATTTTACGCAAATTTGTTAAATCTTCGTCAGATTTTGAAAAACGTGACTCAAACTCCCTAACTAATAATATATGTAGTAACATGTCAACTTCTGACAGTACTTCAGTGTTAACATAACACTGAATCCACTGTAAAATGTGATGCAGGTATAAGCTTCAATTGTAAATATTTTGATTTATGGCCATTTATGCTTTGAGTACTACGCTAGTTACGGGGATTGCATTTTCCTGCTTTTCATTCGAATTGCGCCCTCTACGCGAAAGGCAGAATTGTCTAGAACTCTCGCGAGTTTTCACCACGCGAGATGAAAATAACATTTCTTCCGGGTTCGTAACACGAACTTGCGAGAACATTCTAGCAATAGCTATTTTTGCTGGTTCTAGAAAGTTCACAATGGCTTTATATACAAGCGCAGGTTACACTAACGATCAGATATCATACTCTAAACGAGCAGACAAGCAACTACAAGCGAACAGCGAGAGATATACAACAAGTCTACCTAATCATCGAAGAAAATATTGTTACCGACCCACGACATCAACATTACAACGAGATGCCTGCAAAAGCTATTGGTATCGACCTGGGGACAACTTACTCATGTGTTGGAGTATTTCAACACGGCAAAGTAGAAATCATCGCCAACG